GTGGATAGTAATAACTGAGTTGTTATCCCTTATTACCATTTAGAACATGTCAGAATCAATAACAGAAAAAAGTGCTTTTAGGATTTATAATAGTTTCTACTTTGAATTTACATGTGCTAGCTTTTTTCTTTTTTTGAGACAGAGTCTCATTATGTCACCCTTGGTAGAGTGCCATGGCATCACAGTTCGCAGCAACCTCAAACTCTTGACCTTAAGTGATTTCTCTTGCCTCAGCCTCTCAAGTACCTGGGACTATAGGTGCCCACAACAACGCCTGGCTATTTATTTTGGTGTAGTTGCCATTGTTGTTTAGCAGGCTCAGGCCAGGTTCGAACCTGCTTACTGTGGTGTATGTGGCTGGTGCTCTAACCAGAGTTTCAGAGACCCTTAGGGTAGGAGGTTGGGAGGCACAGTCTACTTTGATAATAATACCAATGATTATCCATCTTTTTTACTCTTATAGAGTGTTCAGTAGAATTTTATAAAGATTATATGGTATGTTGCATCACAACAAATTCAATGTGGAAACAGATATAAAAAGATAGGTATTGTCTACTGAGCCAGAAATTGAAGAGATTTAGGCTGGGCACAGTGACTCACGCCTGTAATCCTAGCACTCTGGGAGGCCAAGGAGGGTGGATTGCTTGAGCTCAGGAGTTTGAGACCAGCCTGAGGAAAATGCAAGATCCCATCTCTAGTAAAAATAGAAAAACTGAGGCAAGAGGATCACTTGAGCCCAAGAGTTGGAGGTTGCTGTGAGCTATGATGCCACCGCACTCTACCAAGGGCGACAAAAAAAAAAAAAAAAGTATTCTGAGTGTGTTAGTCAAATAATATGCTAATTACTCTATTAAGTTAGGGTTTCCAAATGCTTTAAACTTGGTAGATTTCAACCCAATATCTAACATCACAGTATTATAAAAATCAAAATTCTTAGATGTTAAAAAATAAAACCGTTAGCTATATGTTCCTCAAGTGATGCATAATTAACATAAATGGGATAAACTCATTATTTCTAAACATTATGAAATGCAGATAGTGAATGATTATGGAATCCATATATTTTAAATTGAACTAGTAACAGCAACAAAAATTAATTTTTACAAAATCTGTGCTTACCTACTATACTCTTTTCTGGAGCTGGCGGCACAATATAACCGACATGTAAATACTTGCTTGCCAATTTGCTGTGTAAACCAAGAAAGTCACTGAATCTTCTTTTCACTGAAAATTCACTCTTACTGAACATGGAGAGAGAAGTCTACAAGTCAAGAAGAGGTATTTGAACTTTTGAATGTAAGTAATTATTAGAAGGTAATGTTACATATAATTGTGAACAACGGATATATCGACTTTGCAAAAGAATGCTGAGTATCTAGCATGGTATATATATTTCTAAGAAAAACCTAAATCACAGATGTTTATACAGAACCTTAAGAGAATAGAACATATTTATTTTATTCTATCCTAGCCTCCATCTCATCCACCTTATTTATGAGAATGATTTTTAATCTTTACTTCTAGCCCAGATCTCCTTCTGAGCTTCAGTCCAATATATCCAAATACCTATGGGATAACTCCACTTAATCTCATTTAGCACCTCAAATCCACCATATTAACCCCTGCTAAAACATAAATTGTCTATACTATTTACTACTATCCCCTAGTGCTTCCAACAGAGCCTGACACCGTAGTAAATATTTAATAAATGCTGGCCCAGTGAATTAACAAACCCCACCCCGTCCTCCTCGTGTTCCTCCCCATGTTGCCTTTTTCCATCCCCAACTACAAAGTACCTTTAGTTGGTAACTTAGGCATCCCTTTTTTTCCTCACCCCTTACAACCAAATCCTATTAATTCTACCTCCTACATAACTTAAGCAGCCATTTATTTTGCTCATCTCCAGAGCCACTTCCTTAGTGCAAAGTATTACTTCTCGCAGCTAGACTGCTGCAATAGACTGTCTCTCAAATCTCAATTGAAACCTAAAATCCTTTAATAATTACAATTGCCTCTTTTTTTTTCTTTTTGGAGATAAGGGTCTTGCTCTGTTGCCTCAGGTAGAGTACAGTAATGTCCTCATAGCTTACTGCAACCTGAAACTCCTGAGTAACTGGGATTACAGACACCTGCCATCATGTTTGATTAATTTTTATATTTTTTTGTAGAGACAGGGACTTGCTACATTGCTCAGACTGGTCTTGAACTTGAGGTCTCAAGTGAACCTCCTTCCTTGGGTTCCCCAAATACTGGGATTATAGGTATGAGCCACTGTCCCCAGCCTGCAGTGGCCTCTTAAATAGAAATCTTGACCTCTACTTTGATCCTCTCGCTTCATAGTGAACCTAAAGAGATCTTACGAAAACAAGAATCTAACTGTGCTACATTCGTAGTCTGAATCTCTTTAATGGTTCTCCATCATACTTAGGAGAAAGCTCAAACTCCTTGACATGGCTGTGCATAATTCACAGTTTGCCAAACTGCCAAACAGTTAAATCATATATCACTTCTTATAGATTCTAGAAAGCACATACTTTTTTTTTTTTTTGAGTCAGAATCTCACTATGTCACCTTCAATAGAGTGCCGTAGTGTCACAGCTCACAACAACCTCAAACTCCTGAGCTTAAGTAATTCTCTTGCCTCAGCCCCCAAGCAGCTGGGACTACAGGCACCCACCACAACACCCAGCTGTATTTTTTTGTTGCAGTTGTTTAGTTGGCCTGGGCTAGGTTCAAACCTGCCACCCTCAGGGCATATGGCTGATGCTGTAACCACTGTGCTATAGGCACCTAGCCAAAAGCACATACTTTCTTTTTTCTTTTTTAAGAGACAGAGTCTCACTCTATCACCCTCTGTAGAGTGCTGTGGTATCAGCATGAGCTTACAGCAACCTCAAACTCTGGGCTTAGGTGACTCTCCTGCCTCAGCCTCCCGAGTAGCTGGGACCACAGGTACCCGCCACAACACCTGGCTATTTTTTTTGATGCAGTTTGGCTGAGGCTGGGTTTGAAACCACCATCCTCGATATTTGGGGCCAGCGCAATTCCCACTGAGCCACAGGCGCTGCCTTGTATACTTTCTTGACTCTTGTCTTTTGCACAAACAAATCCCTTTGCCTATAACAAGCATTCTTCTTCTTCCTTTTCATCTCTCCCAATCACTTCACTCACCTTTGTCTTGGCTGAGATACTACTTTCCACAGGAAGATTTTCCTGACCCTTCAGGTCTAGATTAGGTCCCTTCCTGCATACTCTCACTTCACACACTACTTTTAAGTATCAAACCGCTCACAACTCAGTTACTTCCTGATAATCCTTAGTATATGGTAACCTTTATAAAGACAGGGATTACTTCCTCCTTAATCATCACTGTATCTCCACACCACATACTAAATGCTCACTGTTTTTTTAAAAGAGGAAAAGCCTCACCTTTGTTGTTACTCTATATGCCATGTAAGCATTCATGCCATCACCTGTAAGAAAAGTCAAAAAATATATTAAAAATCACATATTAAAAATAAAAACTTACTATTTGTTGTGAATGGGTGGATTAAAAAGATAAAACTCACTTTAATATTGCATTTAGTAAAGAAAAACAGCATACAGATAAACTAATAAAAAAGAAATACAAAATAAACAGACAACTATTGACTCACCAACTTTCTCTGGGTCAGACACACCAATTTCTATATCAAATATATCTCCATTTGCTTCTTCTTCAATCTAGAAAGTATAATTTTTTGTTGTTAAGAAACAATAAAAATTTAAATTATATTGTTGTCATAACACTAAGAATTGTAATTTTATCATCCAATTTCTTTTTTTTTTGAGACATAGCCTCAAGCTATTGCCCTGGGTAGAGTGCAGTAGCATCACAACTCACAGCAACTTCCAATTTCTGGGCTTAAGTGATTCTCTTGCTCAGCCTCCCAAGTAGCTGGGACTACAGGTGCCTGCCACAATGTCTGGCTATTTTTTGGTTGTAGTTATCATTGTTGTTTGGCAGGCCTGGGCTGGATTCGAACCCGCCAGCTCTAGTCTATGTGGGTGGCGCCTTAGCTGCTTGAGCTACAGGTGCTGAGCCATTATCATCTAATTTCTATTGAAGTCTGTGACAATGAATTATTTAAGCAGCTACTCAGTGCTTCATTTTGGAAAAACAATAAAGGCTTTCACATTTTCTTACTGTGTAAAAGAAAAAGTACACAAAGACAAGAGGAAAAAGATCATTTGAAGACAGAAAATGTAGAAAAAGTGTTCTAGTCTTCTGAATATATATAAACATTGTGGAATTTTTTTGTTCTATATATTTAATCTATGAACTCAGATTATTAATTACCTCCTTAGTTAATTTTAATAATAGCACTTGTCAAAGTTTTATCTCTACTGTTTACTAACCAGGAAGTAGTCATTACTTTCACTAGCAGCATCTTAAATACCACTAGAAATGATGATACCAAAAGGTAACTTTACTAGCATAATTTCTCTCATTTCCTAATAAACACATGTACTGCTTGAAGTAAATGAAAGGCCTATAAAGTTCTCCAAAAAAAGCAATAAAGTGATAACACTATGACACTACAGGGGAGACCTTTTTAATGCCATTATAAATAAGCAATCCAAACATCAGCTCTGCGGGAAAGCTTTGTTATTTTTAAGAAGAAAGTGCAGAGGTTATTAAACTTTGTAAAATTTTCAACGCAATTTCTTTTCTTTTTTTTTTTTTTTTTTGAGACAGAGCCTCAAGCTGTCACCCTGGGTAGAGTGCCATGGCAGCACAGCTCACAACCACCTCCAACTCCTGGGCTCAAGCGATTCTCCTGCCTCCACCTCCCAAGTAGCTGGGACTATAGGTGCCCGCCACAATGCCCGGCTATTTTCTGGTTGCAGCGTCATTGCTGCTTGGTGGGCCCAGGCTGGATTCCAACCCATCAGCTCAGGTGTATGTGGCTGGTGTCTTAGCCACTTGAGCCATAGGTGCCGAGCCAAGGCAATATTGATAACTTTTGGTTTTTTTTTTGAGACAGAGTCTCAAACTGTCACCTAGGTAGAGTGCTGTCGCATCATAGCTCACAGCAACCTCCAACTCTTGGGCTGAAGCCATCCTTTTGCCCCAGTTTTTCTATTTTTAGTTCAGATGGGGTCTCACTTTGGCTCAGGCTGGTCTTGAACTCATGAGCTCAAGCAATCCACCCACCTTGGCCTCCCAGAGTGGTAGGATTACAGGTGTGAGCCACCACAGGGAGCTTTTTATTTCAGCGTCTTACTTTGTAGCCCTCAGTAGAGTGCCATGGCATAACAGCTCACAGCGACCTCAAATTCTTGGGCTTAAGCGATTCTCTTGCCTCACTCAGCCTTCCAAGTAGCGGGGACTACAGGTGCCTGCCACAATGCCTAGCTATTTTTTGGTTGTAGTTGTCACTGTTGTTTGGCAGGCCCAGGCTGGATTCAAACCTGCCAGCTCCGGTATATGTAGCTGGCACCCTAGCTGCTGAGCTACAGGTGCTGAGCCAATATTGATAATCTTAAGATTATCTCAAAGAAATCTTTTTCTCAAGGTTGTCTTCTTTTACAGATTTTATAAAGTAAATGTTTTTCGAATCATAACATAAATGCAGAAGAGTATATAAATGTATAAACTTTCAAAAAGTGAACACATCCTTATAATCAGAACCTGTATCAGAAACACACACCACCATTACAGCCCAGGGGCCCTCTGGTGCTTCCCCCTGTCACAATCCATCCTCCACCCACCAACACCATCACTGCTGTAACCTCTATTACTACTGTATATTAGTTTTCCCTGTTTTTAAAGTTCCAATATTAGAATTGTATGTAAGTATTCCTTTATGTCTTACATTCTTCCCTTAGTGTTTGTGAGATTATATGTTTTTGCTTGTGGTTATTTATTTATTTTTGAGACAAAGCCTCAAGCTGTTGCCCTGGGTAGAGTGCCATGGCATCACAGCTCACAGCAACCTCCAAATCCTGGGCTTAAGCTATTCTCTTGCCTCAGCCTCCCAAGTAGCTGGGAATACAGGTGTCCACCACAATGCCTGGCTGTATTTTGGTTGTAGTTGTCAGTGTTGTTTGGCAGGCCCAGGCTGAATTCAAACCTGCTAGCTCTGGTGTATACGGTTGGCACCTTAGATGCTTGAGCTACAAGGCACCGAGCCTGCTTGTGGTTATTTAATCAGTCATTTTAATGATCTATTTCTATACAAATGAATTGACAATAACCTCCATATAATTTTTTTTTCCCAAATTCACCTTATCAGAAATTATTGCCAAGTTATAAAAAAGTATCTTTAATGGATATAGATTCATTCCTTCCTTTAAAAAATACAGCCCAGGCTTGGCGCCCGTAGCACTGGTTAAGGCACCAGCCACATACACTGAGGGTGGCAGGTTTGAACCCAGCCCAGGCCAGCTACACAACTGCAACAAAAAAATAGCCCGGCATTGTGGTGGGTGCCTGTAGTCCCAGCTACTTGGGAGGCTGAGGCAAGAGAATTGCTTGAGCTCAGGAGTTTGAGTTTGCTGTGAGCTGTAACGCCATGACACTCTACCAAGGGTGACATAGTGAGACTCTGAAAAATACAGCCCAGCTCGGTGGCTTACACCTATAACCCTAGCACTCTGGGAGGCTGAGGTGGGAGGATCCCCTGAGCTCAGGAGTTGGAAACCTATCTCTACTAAAAATAGAAGAATTAGCCAGGCATTGTGGCAGGCACCTGTAGTCTCAGCTACTTGGGAGACTGAGGTCATGGCACTCTAGCCTAGGCAACAGAGTATGACTGTCTCTAAATAAATAAATAAGTAAAGGCAAGATAGCAATGTTTATGTACTAATACTATTTATTATAATTTCATTTTATCAAATCAAATTATTCAAAATACCACTTTATTCTGATTAATAGTTTTCAAAGCACTTTTATACATCCTCTTATCTGATCAACATAGGAACACTGAGAGGCACAAATTACCATCGTAAGATCACAAATGACAAATTCCTCAATTTAAGTATTAAAATAAATGATACACTAGGAAGAGTGCTGGACATAAAATAAATAGGTAGCTGGATCCCCTAATTTCTTCAGTTCAATGTTCTTTTCTAAAAATGCCTGAAAGTCTTGATTAGGAATAATTTTAATTTTTTTTTTTGAGACAGAGTCTCACTCTGTTGCCCAGGCTAGAGCACTATGGCCTCAGCCTATGTCATAGGATCCTCAAACTCCTGGGCTTAAGTGATCCTCCTGCCTCAGCCTCCCAACAGCTGAGACCACAGGCGCCTGCCACAATGTCCAGCTAATTTTTCTATTTTTAGTAGAGGCAGGGTCTACTATTGCTCAGGCTGATCTCAAAGTTCTGACCTCAAGCAATGCTCCTGCCTCAGCCTCCCAGAGTGCTAGGATTACAGGCCAGAGTGCCCAGCAGCCTTGATTAGGAATGATTAGCAGGAAAATAATACTGGGTATGGAACAAAAGACTTATTGTTTACATATTCATTTAAAATACAAACATTTTCTTGTACCTCTTCCCTGGATCTATCAAAGATCACAGGAGCAGACATACTCTTCGATTCAATTCTAGGAGCAATGAGTGCAGTAGGGGTGACAGGAGTGATTGCAGGAGAAGGTTCTGAGGAGAGGATAGGTTCCCTTTCTGGGCTGTCCAAAGAAACTTCTTCTGTAGCTTCTAGATACAAATTAAATAAATTAGTTACGAACACCCAGAACCAAGCCCCTAATGTTTTATATAGTAGTTAATAATTATATAAAATATTTTTATAATACAAATAAATACCAAAGTAATACTTAAAAATAATTACAAGAGAATTTAATGAATTCTTAGTTGTTTATTATAATTTTAAAATCCGTAGTTACTTTGTTGGTTTAGGTAAAAAGAATCCTAGTAAGTCAGCTTAATTATCTACAGTAGTGGTAGGGAAAGGCTAGGAGAAAACGTTTCACATTCACCTGTGTTTGGATCTGTAATATATCCTATACTTGTGGTAACTTACCTTCCAAATATTTCATTCAGGCTAACATCATGATTATTTTATACATAAGAAAACAAATTTTATGGTGGAAGGCTACCCAGAATTATTCCAACTGTGATTAAAAATTAGTTATGGAAAAGCCACAAAGTTAGTAATTTAAAGTAATTAACTGCCAGAGATTACTGGATATTTTATTAGATACACGAATACAACACAAAGTAAGTATGTGTTAAGGTTTTATGTGTTAATTTTTTTTTTTTTAAGACAGAGACTCAAGCTGTTGCCCTGGATAGAGTACCATGGCCTCATAGCACCCCTCCAACTTGGACTCAAGCAATCCTCTTGCTTCAGTTTTTCTATTTTTAGTAAAGAAATGGTCTCATTTTTTGCTTAGGCTGGTCTCGAACTCCTGAGCTCAAACAATCCATCCACCTTGGGTCCAGAGTGCTAGGATTATGGGCATGAGTCACCATGGCCCGCCTAGGTTTTAACTTAAAATGCTCATCCTCTTGAAAAATCTCTAAGGAAATTCATTTTTAAAATCAAACCAAATAAGCTGTGAGAGTTTACAGGTACATAATACTGTGCTAAGGGCAGAGCAATGAAGAAATGTAAAGAAATGTAGAATATCATACCTTCCCTCAGGGACTTTACAATCTATTTGGGGAAAACAAGACATAAGCATACGGAATGTTAAATGATAATAAAAGACAATAGCAGCAAGAGAACAATAAAAAGAATGTCACAAGGCATTTAATTACTATAGGAACTACAAACAACATGAACTCCAGAACAAACATTACACTCTGAGTTGCTCCTGGAGACAGTACTTTAGGGCAATGGAAAAGAAGATTTGGATGGGTAGAGAAAACACCAAGAGATAATTCCACAAAAATGGATGAGCATATGCAAAAGGCAGAGCCAGGAAAGAGAAAATTACAATCAGTGGCCATAATATACATCACATCTCGGCTGCTCTGCAGAATTGATACCAGGAAAAGGCAGGCAGGACTATAAGGGAAACACAGGACAAGAACAGGGGTTTCCAACATGAAGTTCTTAGATTCCTGGAGGTTTGGGACAGTAATAATGATGGTGAACCATTTTAATTTTAATACTCAAAAAGTATAGTATATTGGGCAGCGCCTATGGCTCTGTGAGTAGGGCGCCGGCCCCATATACTGAGGTTGGTGGGTTCAAACCCTGCCCCAGCCAAACTGCAACAATAAAAAAATAGCTAGGTGCTATGGAGGGCGCCTGTAGTCCCAACTACTTGGGAGGCTGAGGCAAGAGAATCACCTAAGCCTAGAAGTTGAAGGTTGCTGTGAGCTGTGATGCCACAGTACTCTACCCAGGGAGACAAAGTGAAACTCTGTCTCTAAAAAAAAAGAAAAAAAAAAGTATAGCCTATTGACCTGAAATAAGATTATACAGGTTAACATTTTATTAAGCAATGCTTAATGAAAATGTTCATGAAATCCTTACTTGGCATAGATCTCTTTATATTTTTATGTTAAAAGTAAAAATGACTAATAACAGAAATCTTTCAAACTATGGTAATGAGGAAGGAAAACAGACCTTTGGTTTTGAAACAGACTATAGATGACTATAATAAAAGTTTACATGTAACTCAGGCTGTGCAGACTGCTGGTATTTACAATCCTTTTGTTAAACAAATGAAACCAATGAGCAATATGAAAAATCAAACCAAAAAAAGCAATGCTTTCAAGCTAGGGGCAATTTATTTATTTTTTTGAGACAGAGTCTCACTCTGTTGTCCCAGGCTAAAGTGTGGTGGTGTCAGCCTAGCTCACAGCAACCTCAAACTCCTGGGCTCAAGTGATTCCCCTGTCTCAGTCTCCCAAGTAGCTGGGACTATAGGCATCTACCATGATGCCCAGTTAGTTTTTCTATTATTAGGTATTAGACACCCGGTAGGTTCTCATTTTTGGTCCGGCTGGTCTTGAACTGAGCTCAAGCAATCTCCTCACTTCAGCCTTCCAGAAGGCTAGGATTACACACATGAGCAATTAACTGCCAATAAGCAAACACCAAACAAGTAGCAAACAAAACAAAAAAAATCTCAAAAAAAATTTTTTTTGTGGAAGAGATAACTTTATTGAGAAATAAATCAGCATAAATAAAATAATTTTAACTTGAAAACTCTTTTTTGGAGATGGAGTCTGTCACCCAGGCTGGAGTGCAGTGGTGTTATCACTGCTTGCTGCAGCCTGGATCTCATAGGCTCAAGAAATCCTTCTGCCTAAGATGGAACTAGAGGCATGCACCATAATTCCCAACTAAAACAAATTTTTTTGGTAGAAACAGGGCTCTCGCTATTTTGCCCAGGCTGGTCTTTGAACTCCCAATTGATCCTCCTGTTTTAGCCTCTCAAAGTGCTAGGATTAGAGGTGTGGGCCACTGCACCCTGTCCATTTTAAGTTTTCAATCACAATTTACTTCACCGATACCAGGTTTTGTGCTCTTGACACTAAGAGGATACTTTATAAATGGTAGGATTTATTTAGATTCAGCCTACTAACAGTAAAATAGTATATCTTAAATTCTTTGCATGAGTTCTTTTACCTTAAGTGAACATATTACAGATTCACAAGTTTTAATTTAAATCAGATAGAAAAGTTCAGGAGGGTGTCCAATAGGTACTAACTTTGAGACAAATATAAATTGCTTATGTCAGTATCAGCTAAAATGATACTTATTTGACAGTTATCAAAGAATTTTTAAATAAAGGAATACTCACTAAACTTACAACTGGCATAACCTGAACAGCATAGGTGAAATGAGCTAGGTACTCTGGCAAAAACAAGTTTTTAGATTTTAACAAATGATGGAGAAGAGGGATTCTATAGTTCTAAGGTTTAAAGATCTAGGGTAGTGGTTCTCAATCTTCTGAATGCCGCGACCCTCTCATATAGTTCCTCATGTTGTGGTGACCCCCAACCATAAAATTATTTTCATTGCTACTTCATAACTGTAATTTTGCTGCTTTTATGAATCATAATGTAAACATCTGATATGCAAAAAGGGGTTGTGACCCACAGGTTGAGAACCGCTTGTCTAGGGCGATTTCAGAATTAGCAATTTGCTCACACTTACCTCCTCCTCTAGGATAGTTTCCTGAGGTATGCTCAGCGCAGCATTAGTGCCAGATTTTAACAAATGATGGAGGAGAGGGATTTAATAGGTAAACTGTATTTGGTGAATACGCTCTACATAAGCTAATAACTGCAACATGTATCACAGATGAATTTTTTCCAGTATCACTTCTGACATACACTATTTGAAATGCTACCCAAAACACATTAGCACATGTACTAATATAACCTCCTTATGGTTTTAAAGTCCTAATGGCTAAGCACTAGAGTAATATTTATATTTTATCCTCTGGTGTAGGAGAAATAAATCAAGTTCATGTTCTCTTTACAACACTTTCACCACGCTAGTAACATATACTACCATTTCCTAGAACCATACTCCTCTATAGAAAGAGAAATGATGCTCCTGCTTGAAAGCATTATAAATAAGAACTAAGTATAGTATTAATTCACTCAGACAAAAATAATCAGATGCCTTTATGAAATACAGCTGAGTTTAAGATAAATGCTAAAGAATAAAAATTATTTATTGGCAGGCATGGTGACTTACTTCTGTAATCTTAAAAGAGTCTGGGAAGCTGAGAAGGGATGACTGCCTGAAGCCAGGATTTCCAGACCAGGCTGAGCAACAAAGCAAGACCCAGTCTTTACAAAAATGAAAATATATATATATTAGCTGGATATGGTGGCATGCACCAGTAGTTCTAGCTACTTGGGAGGCTGAGGCAGGAGGATCACTTGAACCTAGGAGTTTGAGGTTGCAGTGGGCTATGATGACACCACTACACTCTAACCCAGGCCACAGAGTAAGACCCTATCTCAAAAAATAAAAAAGTGTGGCTAGGTGGCCATAGTTCAGTGTAGTTAGGGCACCAGCCACTTGCCCTGGGGCTGGTAGGTTCAAAATTGGCCCAGGCCTACTAAAAAAACAACAATAAAAAAGCCAAGGCGTTGTGGAGGGTGTCTGCAATCTTAGTTACTAGGGAGGCTGAGGCAAGAGAATCGCTTGAGCCCAAGAGTTTGAGGTTGCTGTGAGCTATGATACTACTGCACTCTAAAGAGGGTGACGAAGTGAGACTCTGTCTCAAATAAATAAATAAATAAATAAATAAGTGTCTATAAGGCCAGGCTCACACCTGTCATCACAGCACTCTGGGAGGCCAAGGCAGGTGGATCGCTTGAGCTCAGGAGTTTAAGTCCAAGGTGAGCAAGAGAAAAATCTCATCTCTACTAAAAATAGAAAAATTAGCTGGGTGTTGTGGCAGGCACCTATAGTCCCAGCTACTTGGGAGGTGCAGGAGTTTTAGGTTGCTGTGACCTAGGCTGATGCCACAGCACTCTAGCCTGGGGCAACAGAGTAAGACCCCTGTCCCCCCCTCAAAAAAAGAAAAGAAAAGAAAAGAAAAGAAGTGTTTATATTTATACGTTAACAAAGCAAACAGATGACTATGTTTATTATTCTTTAGACACCATCTCTCTTTTTAAAACAAACACTGACAATATTTGAATCACAGAATTTAGCATAGATTACTAATAGACTAAAATACTTTAAAGATTTTTTTTTTTTCGGGGCGAGGGCTGGGTTTGAAACGGCCACCTCCGGCATATGGGGCCGGACTCCTGCCCTTTTGAGCCACAGGCGCTGCCCCTGTAAAGATTTTTTTGATTGAACCAAGTGGGCAAATATCATTGTATAGTTTTCACTTGGCTAACTGATCAGCTGTGCACACTATACAACCATAAAAAAATCCTTTCTTTCCATATACATGCACGTGTGCTCACACATACACACAATTCTGTGTTAGAGAAAGGTTTCAGCACATTCATTTATATAGAATTCTAAGACTATGAAGTGGAAAGGTCTTTAATAAAATAGATAATCCAAAACTGTTATAGGAACACACACAGTTTTAGATAAGAACTTGTTTAGTAAAGACAAGACTCACGGCTCAGCGTCCATAGCTCAGTGGTTAGGGCACCAGCCACATACACTAGGGCTGGTGGGGTTGAACCCAGCCCTGTCCTGCTAACCAACAATGACAACTACAACAACAAAAAAAAGTAGCAGGGTATTGTGGCAGGCACCTGTAGTCCTAGTTACTTGGGAGGCTGAAGCAAGGGAATTGCGTGGAAGTCCAAAAGTTGAGATTGCTGTGAGCTGTGACACCATAGCACCCTACCTAGGGCAACATAGTAAGATTCTGTCTCAAAAAAAAGAAAAGAAAAAAAAAAGGCTTGGCACCTGTAGTTTAAACAGCTGAGGTGCCAGCCACATATACTAGAGCTGGCAGGTTTGAATCTAGCCAGGGCCTACCAAACAATAATGACAACTCCAACCAAAAACTAGCTGGGTGGGCAGCACCTGTGGCTCAAAGGAGTAGGGCGCTGGCCCCATATGCCAGAGGTAGTGGGTTCAAATGTAGTCCTGGCCAAAAATTGCAAAAAAGCAAACAAACAAAAAAAAACTAGCTGGATGTTGTGGCAGTTGTCTGTAGTCCAAGCTAGTTGGGAGGCTGAGGCAAGAGAATCACTTAAGCCTAGGAGTTAGAGGTTGCTGTGAGCTGTGATGCCACTGCACTCTACCACCGGTGACAAAGTGAGACTGTCTTAAAAAAAAAAAAAAAAAAAAAAAAAAAGACAAGACTTATGTTATCTTTTTGATAAAAACATAAATGCCATGAAAAAAACCTTTAAGGAGCACCTGGAAGAAAGTCCAAGAAAGGCAACAAAGAATACTGAAATATTATAAATTAACTAGATATGATTTTGACTCTAAGTTGTTAAGTGGCAAAAAAGAAAAAAAACCCCCACATGATTAGTACTTCAGTATTTGTATGTATATCACACTTTTATTTTCTGATGTGATAAAATATGTGAATTCATGAATGGTGAAAACTATTCATGGAACTAAGCAAGTTGAAAATTACATAAACTTTTGGGATAGAGGATTGTATCTTCAAATATATTTGTACAAAATGTACAGAATGGTCTGAATACTGAACCACTATAAAAGCTGAGAACACATTATTTTTTTTCCTTCTACTTTTTCTTTCTCTTTGCAAGTTATATGGGTAATGTGCCAACACAGTAACAAGAAGGAACGCATATCTCACACACATTAGTGTGAAAATCCAATCATGCTTATGAACCCCAAAAGGATCAACCATATTATTAAATTTTAATTCAATGAAAGTCAGCTCAGGTACATTAAGCTGTTAAAAACAGGAAAACTGACTACTTTAATTTTGTGTCATCAATAGTAAGGAAGATTTTGCTTTTTAATATCAAAATATTAATTTTGATTAATGTTAACCTTAAAGCAGATACTTCTTTGAAGCTAACTGTTTAAACTTTAGGATGGAATATACCAAATCTTGCCTTCATGTCCAAAACAAATATCTCAAGCATCAGTTTACTCCCCTAAAAGTGAGTCATTATTGAAGAGGTGGCGGCTGAGTGCCTGTAGCACAGTAGTTACAGTGCTAGTCATATACACCAGGGCTGGCGGGTTTGAACCGAGCCCGGGCCAGCCAAACAATGACAACTGCAACAAAAAATAACTGGGAGTTGTGGCAGGCACCTGTAGTCCCAGCTACTTAGGAGGCTGAGGCAAGAGAATTGCTTTAGCCCAAGAGTTTAAGGTTGCTGTGAGCTGTGATGCCGCCCAAGAGTTTGAGGTTGCTGTGAGCTGTGATGCCACGGTACTCTATCAAGGGTGACATAGTGAGACTGTCTCAAAAAAAAAAAAAAAAAAAAGGAAAAAAAAAAGAAGAGGTGGTAAATATTGCAGCAATTTACTAAAATAAATTTCAAACATAAACGGGATACAAACAGATTCTTAAATCCAAATTTCTTAATTTTGCTTTGTGACCCATATGTAATTAAAAAAATACAATCACTACTATTTCTCAAAGTATGAAGGCCCTAACAATTAGCCTTTAAGTCTAAGTACTTACCAAAACAATCCAATTATAACACTGAACTTATTTTCAAATATGTAAAACCAGAAAAGACCACATTTTTGCTTCTCTCAACAGTGCCTATTTTTCATAGAGTTGTCTAGTTAGAAATGCTCTCTCCTAAGATTCCACAAAAAGAGCTATTACAAACATTTTATACAGAATTTCAGTTTTGTTTTAGAGAATTTTTTTTTATACAACACAATATGCACTTCTGGTCATTATTTAAAAATAAAAATACAACAATTACCCGCAAAAAGATCTTCTCTGTCATCATCTAGCACAACTTCTGCAGGTTTTGGGCCATTGGAGTTTGCACTATTATCTTCTGTAGGAAGACTAGCTGGCTCTGGAGATGATGGACTTGACTGTTAAAAGGAACAATAATAGGTAACAGATTGGCATGTTTATCTGGTGTAATTTTCCCTATATACTACAGAAATAGTACATTCTCTTGATAAGAAGGGAGGAAAGAACAAGAACAGCTATTTATATTTCCTCCCTTGAGGGTAACAATGAACCAAAAACACACTTTTGCTCATTTCCTTTCTTAACAAAATGTCACTTAAGATTTAATAAAAAAAGTCTATTCTTTTGAACTTCCAATAGTGTGGAAAAAAAGAAAGTGTATTCTACTTGTTCTTTTGGAGATTACTAGTTTGTCATGTTGAATTATAATTCATAAAAACCAAATGAAATGTTTTATAATATTTATACAGTCACATATTATAGAACCCAAATCAGATCAAGTCCCTTAATTTTTAAGAATTGATGCTTTTGTTTTTGTGACAGAGTCTCGCTATGTCACCCTGGGTAGAGTGCCATGATGTCACAGCTCACAGCAACCTCAAACTTTTGGGCTCAAGAGATCTTTTTGCCTCAGCCTCCCTAGTTAAGCTGGGACTACAAGGCACCCATCATAACACTGAGCTAATTTTTTTATTTTTAGTAGAAATGGGGTCTCGCTCTTACTCAGGCTGGTCTTGAACTCCAGCAATCCACTTAGCCTCCCAGAGTGCTAGGATTACAAATGTGAGCCACCGCAACTGGCCCATGCTTTTGTTTTTGTCATTGCCATATTCTTCCCCCTTGGTGGGGACAGAGGTATTCACGCATCAGAATTCCACACAACTCAACAACAAGGAAACAAAGTTGAAAGCATTAAGTATTAAGACTACAATTATTCTATTATAAAATTTCTATAGTTTCAAACTAAAAATATGCCTTCATCAAAAACTGACATTTTAACTAAGTTAAGGATTATTTTTGTGTTTCTTAAAGTATAATGAGCAATGTAATAGAAACTAGGTTGTGTAACTTTTAGCTTTATTATAGTTTAAACAATGGTTAAAAATAAGACTTAAAACATTTTTCACAAAGTATATAAAACAAACACATACAAAATTATATATCTCAAACTATACTGCTAAATATTTTCAAAAACACAACATACCTGTTAAACTAGGACCCCCCCTTCCCATTCTTTACCATGTAGGTTTCTACTGACCTAGATTAGTTTTTCCTGGTTTTGCTTTTCATAAATGGAATTATAAAAAATATATTCTTTTCTGTTGATTTTTGTTCTTTTTTTTTTTTGCAATTTTGGCCAGGGCCAGGCTTAAACCTGCCACCTCCGGTATATGTGGCTGGCATCTTGTTCTTAATGTTATGTACATGAGATTCTTCTATATTGTTCTGTGTAGCAGGCCACTTATACTCATTGATGTATAATATTTTGTTGTGTGAATGTCATAATTGGTCTGTTCTACTGTTGATCTATGTGGGTGGTTATCAGTTTTTTACTACTTCTAATAGTGCTACTATGGTGAACACAGTATATACCTAGGAGTGGAACTGCTAGATCATAGGGTAGATGAATGTTCAGCTTTAAGGAGATTTCACTAAACAATCTTCTAAAGTGGGTTGTATAATTTATACTCCCACTAGAGGCATATGAAAATATAGCTCCACATCCTTGTCAACATTCTGATATATTTCATTTGTTCACTTCAGCTACTCCAGAAGGTGTAAAGTATCACTGGGGTTGGAATTTCTACTCTTCTGATGAATAATGATGCCAAGCAGTTTTTCGTATGTTTAATGGCCATTTGAATATTCTTTTTTTGTGGAGTCTCTTCAAGTATTTTCTCCATTTTTCTATTGTTCTTATTGATTTGTAGTAGTTTTTAAAATACATTCTGGATATAAATTCTGTGTCAGATATGTATTATGAATACTTTCTCCCTCTCTGTAGCTTACTTTTTAATTTTAAGATAAGTAGATTTTGCAACAGACATTCTTAATTTATATTATGGGCAAATTCTATCAATTTTTTCTTTTATGCTTAGTAAATTTTTTGTAGGACCAATAATCCTTTGATGCTACTCATTAGCTTTTTTTTTTTTTTGAGACAGAGTTCCACTTTGTTGCCCTTGGTAGAGTGCCATGGCATCATACCTTACGGCAACCTCTAACTCTTGGGCACAAGACATTCTCTTGCTTCAGTCTCTCCAGTAGCTGGGACTACAGGAGCCTTCCACAACACCTGCCTATTTTTAGAGGCAGGGTCTCCTTCTGGCTTAGGCTGGTCTCGAACCTGCGAGCTCAGGCAATCCACCCTACTTGGCTTCCCTGAGTGTTGGGATTATAGGCATAAGCCACCTCACCTGGCCCTACTCAGTAAGCTTTTTAAGTAAACTATCCTGTATGGCACAAGGACATTCCTTTATAACATTCAAAAACAGTTCCAAATCCTTATAGGAAAATGTAAAGAGCAGCTTTCTTTTCTCTCAGGAAATAATTTTTATAGACCCAAGTATCCCAAAAGTGGGCCTCCATTTAACTGAGTAATTTCACTTGAAGGAATTTAAAGAATAAATAAGTTCATTATTTCTTCTGAAAGATGTTCCTGACAATCTCAACTGACCTTGTCCCAAGTCCAATTAAGGAGCATGAATACCAAGCCCGTATCTTCTCCAAATTTCTCCTTTGACATTATACCTATCTGCTCATAGACTATAAGTTCTATAAGGAATGGAAGAGATTTTATTTTGTCTACTACTTTTTACTCTGTATCTTGCAGCAAACATTCAACGACTATTAATGAATTTTTTTTTTTTTTGGCCGGGGCCGGGTTTGAACCTGCCACCTCTGGTATATGGGGCCGGTGCCCTATTCCTTTAAGCCACAGGCGCAGCCCAATTATCAATGAATTTTAAGAAAATAATATGGCTGTGCTAAAGAATTAGGCACATATTTGCCAATCAAATTGTCTATGATACTATAAAATTTGAAACAGCCAATGGCACATTCACATAAAAATGTAGCAATGTGGCTCCAACACCCATTCCTGATAAAAATTCTTAGCAAACTAAGAATAAAGGATAACTTCCTCAGCCTGATAAGGAATATCTACAAGAAGCCCACTACTACCATTATACTAAATGGTGAGAAACTTTCCCACTAAGATCAAGATCAAGACAAGGGTGTCCCCTTTCACCACTACTTTCTGCCATCATAACTGGATGTCCTAGCTAATGCAACGTAAAATAAGAAAAAGAAACAAAAGGTATGCAGACTGGGAACAAAAAATGTTAACTGGCGGTGTCTGTACTCAGTAGGTATGGTACCAGTCACATACACCCAGGCTGGCAGGTTCAAACCTGGCCCGCGCCTGCCAAACAACAATGACATCTGCAACAATAGCCAGGCATTGTGGTGGATGCCTGTAGTCCCAGCTACTTGGGAAGCTGAGGCAAGACAATCGCTTAAGCCTAAGAGTTTGAGGTTGCTGTGAGGTATGACATCACAGCACTCTACCGAGGGTGACATAATGAAACTGTCTCAAAAAAAGTAAGAAATGTTAACTTACAAATACCAATTGCTTTTCCAGGTTAACTGGCAAACATCAATTGCTTTTCTACATACCAGCAATGAAGAAGTAAAATCTGACATTAAAATCTTAATACTCTTTACATTAACACTCCCTAAAATGAAATACTTAGGTATAAATCTAACAAAATGTGTACAAGATCTATATAAGGAAACACTTAATTCTAGTGAAAGCAATCAAAGAAGAACTAAATAAATAAGGAGATATTCCACATTCACAGATACAAATTTGATACTGTCAAATAGTCCATGGGTGGCACCTGTGGCTCAGTGAGTAGGGTGCTGGCCCCATATACCGAGGGTGGTGGGTTCAAACCCGGCCCCAGCCAAACTGCAACAATAACAACAACAAAAAAATAGCTGGACACTGTGGCAGGCGCCTGTAGTCCCAGCTACTCAGGAGGCTGAGGCAAGAGAATCACCTAACTCCAGGAGTTGGAGGTTGCTGTGAGCTGTGACACCACAGCACTCTACCAAGGGCAATAAAGTGAGACTCTGTCTCTAAATAATAATAAAAAAAAAACCCCAAAAAACCAAATAGTCCAGCCTTTCCAAGTTGATTTATAGGTTCAATGCAATGTGAAGCAAAATACCTGGCAAGTTATTTTGTTGTTGTCGACGAGCTAATTCTAAAGTTTATACGGAAAGGCAGAATAGCCACCATATAATATTGAAGAACAAAGTTGGAAGACTGACACTATCAACTTCAAGACTTACTATAAAAGATACAGTAGGGCTCAGTGCCTGTAGCGCAAGCGGCTAAGGCACCAGACACATATACCAGAGCCGGCAGGTTTGAATCCAGTCCAGGCCTGCCAAGCAACAATGACAACTACAACCAAAAAAGACCCAGGCGTTGTGGTGGGTGCCTGTAGTCCCAGCTACTTGGGAGGCTGAGGCAAGAGAATCACTTAAGCCCAGGAGCTGGAGGTTGCTGTGAGCTGTGACACCACAGCACTCTACCGAAGGGTGACATAGTGAGACTCTGTCTAAAAAAAAAGATACTGTAAAGACAATGGAAAGACAAATCTGACACTAGAAGAAAATATTTGCAAAAGACAAATCTGATAAAGGATCATTATCTAAAATGGAAAAAAAATGTTAAAATTCAGCAATAAGAAAACAAACCAAACAATTAAAAATAGGTAAAAGACCTGAACAAACAGCTCAGGGTGAGAACTTAGGTGTAAATCTAACTATATATGTGTATATATATATGATCTATATAAGGAAATACTTTTTTTGTTGACAGAGTCTCACTTTGTTGCCCTCTGTATAGCCCCATGGCACCACAGCTCACAGCAACCTCGAACTCCTGGGCTTAAGCCATCCTCCTCTCTCAGCCTACCAAGCAGCTGGACTACAGGCACACACCACAATGTCCAGCTAACACTTCTACCAGCCAGCCTTGCTGCCCCTGCTGCAGAGAGCCTTCCACCCTCCGCACCGCGTGGTGAGGCTGCTCTGCGGGGTACAG